ACACAGGAATGAATTAAAGAGAGACAAGGCGGGTGTGTAACTAACGAGTGAGCCAGCTAAAGACACACAATCATAATAGGTGGAGAGTTGCATGTTAAAGAAGAGGGCAGGTAACTAAAGGATGAAAAGACGAGAGAAGAAGGAGTGGATGAGGGAGCGAGAGGGATGTTTTCTACCAAGGAGCACTATCATAATTGTCACATTTGATCAGGGAGGAACTAGTTAGCTTCATGGGCCACTGCTTTTTCCAAGCTCCCCTCCTTACAGAGGAGGCAGTGGGCTGAGCATTAGACACAAACAAGTACGCACACGCACACTTTTATGCTGCCGTCCATGTACAGTATATGGCTGCACGCCTAGTGACACATGTGCAACCACACACGTAATGCTGCTTACACAAACATGCACATCTGCGTATTTACAGAAATAAAGAAATTGAGCAAAAATAAACAAAAGAAATGCAATTTTCAGCCAGCGTATTGTTTGTTTGTTTGCTGCTTGAACAATAACATCCCAGAGTCCTCACTTGCCCTCTCAAATTGAAATACAGGCAGAAAAAAGATACCATAACATAACACACTGAACAGAGGATCACAGATGTGATGTGGTGTGTTATTTTTGATCAAACCGTGGTGTATTAGCAAACTTTAAAGACGGAAAATGTGTCCTCAAGGTGATGAGCATGGACATTCAAACAGTTGCAGACATCCTGCAGAAGTATTTGTACAACACATTTTTGAGAAAATACTTCTGTTCTGTATGTTTGGCAAGTAGTCAGAGTGTCAATGAATAATTTAGGACCATTTTTTTGCTGACACCAGTTAAGTGGAATAAAGGAAAGTGAAAAACAAAAGTGAGAATGCGAGTTTAACCCCGAAGCTCTAGCCTGTCCTTACTTGTTCTCATTTATGGGAAGCAAATCAAAGACGCCATTGTTCAAGAGCCCATTTAGCCTCCACAAAATTAATCAAAGTTGGGGCAATACAATTTTTCGACAAGGCAGGCGTTTCAAAATTACAGAGGAGCGGTAGGAAATTACAGTTGTTTTGATTAAGGGCCCAGCAGTGCAGTTGTGCATATCTGTGTGCCTTTTGGCTTTTTAATTTAATTTCACTATTAAGATTGTACACGTAAGTCCTAATGTATCAAAAAGAAAAGTTCATTATTATCCTAATACTTTATTTATCAAATAATAAAATACAGGCTAGCTTGACACTTTTTTGAACTGTAAGGTAACACATGAGGAGAGTGGAAATAAAATTGATTAATTATGCACAAATGACTATTCAGCAGCCCTTATGAGTAAAGTACACAAAGTATCTCCTGGTTCTTCCTTTAGGGTCTGTAACACTCCCTCTGGCCACAGCAGATTTCTGCTCATCGGGTCGAGGGGATCCATTGACTTGCGCTGACGTGTGCGTACATGGCGCACACATGTAGTATGTTCCGCAGAAGCTGGGTCAATAAAAACGCTTTACCCATCTGCTTCATGAAGCATGGCCACCAAAGCTCCACTGTTGTGGGATTGATTTTAGTGTTGATGATGTGTAGTTAAGATGAGATTGTTTCCTTACAACGGTAATTACTGAAACTCATTGTCCCATATGTGCTGATGTTTGACAATAATCACGGTTTGGCTTGTTTTCCTATATTCATGACATACTTCTGCACAAGGACGACTCCCAGCTGCTTGTTTACCTTGAGAAAAGAGATGCTATATTTACAAAAGAGCCTAAAGATGCCAAAAGTGGTGAAGGTAATAGCAAATGATATAAATATCCAATGGAGATTTTAAAAAAGCTTAGCTTTTCCATTTCTTTTCCAGGGAAAAATAAAACGCAGAACATCTGTTTATATAACTTCTGTTTGGGTTAATCACATAAACCTTTTTTTCCCAAAGAAGTTCTCAATCTATGTGCTGTCCTCAAACTGGATACATGAGTTGTACTGTGGGTGAGTGTGTGTTTGACTTTCTCTGTGTCTGTCTATGTATCCCCAATTGTGTATAAATCACCTTCCATGTCTCTCTGAGCCACCGATAGAGCTCTCCATGGTGCTGAAATCTTCCAAGGGTTTTGCCTGAGAGTGCTACTCTGTGTGTGTGTGTGTGTGTGTGTGTGTGTGTGTGTGTGTGTGTGTGTGTGTGTGTGTGTGTGTGTGTGTGTGTGTGTGTGTACACGTCACTAAAAGCACAATCACAAAGCTTCTATTAGCTGCCCATGGGGCTGAGATTGCAACGAGCACGGCACATTCACATTTCCATCATCCAATTTTCATTATGTCACAGTTTGGGGTTTTCATTTTTATTTTGAATAACAAGGTACTACAAGGTAGAATAATGACAATAGTTTTTTTTTTTTACAGATAATCAGATATTTCACTGGGTTTTAATGGCCAACACCAGTAATGGTTTCTTAATACAGCCCAGTCTTCTAAGAAGAAAAAGTCAGTGGGTGTATTATACAATATGATGGATATGATATGCTTAATACTGAATAAACACATGTAACAGCATGAGTCAAATGAATAAAGTCCACGAGGTGCACTTTTAATGTACCTTATATTTACAAGGTCTCCCATAATAATAAATGTATCAAATAAAAAAAACATTTGAAGCATTGTGTACGACCAACTAGACCCACATAAGCATCGACCTGTGGAATGATTTCATACAATGCAGAGCTACATGTTTGAAGCACCTGCCAACTATGTTCGTTGTCAAAGCAGTGGGAAACATTTATCTGCCCGACAACGCGATTGTTCTGCCTCTGCCAAAAGATGCAAAAATAGGCTGCTGTAGTCAATGAAAAATCTCCATTTCCAATAAATGCTGCTTCTTTGAGGCGTTGTCTTGCCAACGGGTTGACGTATGAAGATGTGAAGATGCCATGTTTGAGGTATGTCCGTATACAATCCTGAACATTTGAGAATTATCCCTATTGTGCCTTGTAATAGAATAGTTAAGCTCATCTGAATTTCCCTTTTCCATTCATTTGTTGGAAATGATATCTGTTGAAGGGGAATTTCAGATAGTAAATGAATTAAGGGTGGCGAGTAGAGAATTTTTCATCAATATCTGTAGACACGTTATTAGTTGTGATGGCATATTCTAATGCTAATAAATGAGCATGATTATTGCAGTCACAGACAGTCTCCCTTTTGATCTCCTTTGTCCTTTCATTTGGTCCAATTTGGGAAGCCACAAATGTGATTTTCTGCAGAATTCTCTCAGGCGAATAGCCAAATGTTCACAGAAAGTCAATTACAAGAGCCGAAGAATAGAGGAAAATCATCGGGCAGATCGTTTGACTATGTTACATGTAAGGAAAGCATTAGTTCCTCTTAGAATCTTACACAGAGTACAGATACCAAAACACATGCAGTCTTAGTACAGGGCCATTTAGTTTGAATGCTACATTATTTGTTTCACTATCATATTTGAGTGATTAGAAATTAATATCTGTGATACACTGATGAGAAAATAGTACCCCTGCTGTTAAGGAGGATAATTCCTTAATACGAAATAGTGACTGATTTCTTTGTCTGCGGAAGTCAAAATGAAATCTAAGAAAAAATAAGTTACACTACTTGAAGGAACGTAAATAATGCAGCTTGAACTTTTAAGGCAAATTTTGGACTTTCATAGGTTTCCTGGTTCATTCTGACACGCTGTAATCTAGCAGGCACAGTCCCGTGATAGCTTCTATTTCCTCTCAGCCGTCTGCTGCCGCATGCGTTGGCTGAGCGCATCAGCAGTTTTCAAATCTGGATTTTTGAAATGAATGCCGTCCACCCTGAGTTGTTCCTACACTCAAACAGACACACTGTGTGTTGGACTGCCAATGTGGTGCACATTTATTGACTCTTCATTAACCAGAAAAACTTCTCTGTGGTGTGTCTACCTACAAGAGTACGGTCTCCCATTCAGAGTGTGGCAGTTAAAGAATCAGTGACTTCATTTCACCCCCAAAATGGATAATCCATTACAGAGCTGCGAGAAGTTGATGGATGAATACATGGATGTTTGGTAATATGTTTCTGCTTAAAGAGCTCTACCACAACAACTCCTCCCCCACTTCCAAACCTTCCAAAGAAGCACTTCAGTTGACTGATGTCCCACCACTTTTACTCATCCATATGCAAATATATGCTGCAAAGATTCTTCTGAATCTAATCACATCGTCTACTGTAGAGAGGATGCTTGCAATATAAGCGCAACATTGGAAGCCATGGACGCATTAAATGGAGGATGATATCTTGACAAAAATATGTTGGGTTATTTTACCTGTGTTTCCTATGAATGTCCAGCAACACTGGCAATCAGTGTACCTCCTCGAGCCTCCCGTGTTGCTCTGCGACATAACTACTTTGTTAGGTTGCGTAAAATGTTGCGCTTCGGGTTGAATTACTTCGGAATCGGTGTTACTCAATATAAAACGTGACGAATTCTCAAGCGGTGAAGTTAGAAGTTAGCATTTAACGGGTTATGAAACGGTCTCAATTTACCATTGATGTCTCATCACGACTGACTGAGACGTACGAGGCCACGAGGTTCCTGGGTCTGATTCAATTAGACAAAAACCACGGAGGTTTACCAGAGATTCCTTCCGCTCAGACTCAACGGGAGCCTCGACCTCCGGCCGTAGGTACAGGAGAACCACAACCAGGACTGCTCGGGGCCGACTGTCATACCCCTTGGTGGTAGAAAGAGAAGTCTTAACATGGCCGCCGGCGCTGGGAAATATTATCGATAAGTCAGAAAACTAAACTGGAGCAGAGGAGGGAAAGTGTCCTGCATTTACAAATAGATGGAATTAATTTGAAGTGCCACGTCCCTTACAACTCTCCATGTGCACTGGCTGTATTTTGGAAATTGCGCGTGCTGACGTCACTGCGAGCGATTGGCGGCGGGGAAAGGGGAAGAGCGGGAGGGAGGGAGGTTGTCGTCGCGAACGCGCTCGACGGATCCCCTGGCGGAGGGCGGCGGGAGCGCGCATCTCCCTTCTCCGACTGCAGGAGAGTGTGAGCGCGAGCCACTGCGCGTGGAAACCTACCCCCGAATGCCGGAGCAGGCGCGAGCCACACGGACACATTTCACCCTCTGACAATGATAGTGGAGAGGATAGGGGCAGTAAGGAGAGCAAGCTTCTTTTTATTTTTTTTAATTTTATTTTTTTTAAATTGATTCCCTCATTCCCTTCCTTCCCACATCTTCTTCAAATGAAGAGCGTCCTCGGACGTGGAGTAGCGGGCACATCCCACTGAGCCCTGGCTGCCGCCTGCGAGCGACTTCTCCTCTCACCACATTGGAATATACAGCGCGCCTATATGCGCAAAACCATGGAGATTATATGACGCGGATGTATTCTTGAACAGAACTGGACACATACAAAGGGCGAGGTTGCCTCTTCGTTTTGTTTTGTTTTATTGCCGTTTGACGGTGCGGCTACTTTATGATCTCATGTCCTTAGCGAGCCTTCCTTATTTTTACATTTTTTTTTTTTACACTTGTTATCATTTTCGGTCTGTTTCGGAGACGCAGAAGTGGGGATGCCTCGCAGAGAACATTTTGCGGGGGAGAAGAATCCGCGCAGCGTCGATGGTGAATGAATGATTGTCTCCCTCTCCATCTGAGACGTGCCATGGATGGGAAACTTAATTTGTATCCACGGAACCGATCGGGGAATATCCGTCGCATTAAATAACTACTGCTGACAGCGATCAGGTAATAGCCTACACCTCATGTATTAAACTCAACATTGCTGTCAAATACAAAGCTGCTGGACGGGTTCTCTTGCGCCTTTTTCTTTTACTCCCAAAAGATTTGCAGGCTGCCTGCGTGTCTATTTATTTGATTCTTAGCGTCCGCGCGTCCGGTTTTAATGACGCATGCGGTCATGATCCTGCACTCTCGCCTGTTTCGCCAAACTCAAAGTATGTTGACAGTTGTCCGCGGGATGTGTGATCGCTGAACCCGAACGGAAGTACCGGTCACCTAACCCCCCCCCCATCAGATCCACGTGAGCAGCCCATTAGTGGAGCCCAGGTGGACGGCAGCAGCCTTCTGAATGCTGAAGCGCTCAGTGGGAGACACAGGGGGCTGTATGGTTGCCTCCGAAGCCGCTGGCAGACTTGTAACTTTGCGCAGTGGCAAAAAGAAATACGCACGCACCCACGCACACACGGCACATTGTGCGCACACAGCCCGCACGGACGGACACTTTTTTATTTCCACCTTCCATACTACTGACTCGACCCTGTCGACGCATTCACATGCTCACGTCCTCCATCCCCCCGACGCGCGCACAATCATGTTGTGTTCTATCTCGTCTCGTGGGGGGGTTCCACGATGCCATTTTGAGTTTAGAATACCGTGTCTAGAACCACAGCTTCTCCGCGACATCGACGCTTCCTTCGCGCAGTGTCCCTGATGGCCGGACACGACCCCCCCCCCCCCCCCCCCCCCCCGCCGGTTAAGCCAGAACGGGATATCAGGTTAATCGGGAAAGGGCAGAACACTTGGTTTTTTACGAAACAATCTGGCACAGGGGAAGTGTGAGGACCTATATAGTGAGGGAGTGCCAAGGAGATGGGCCGCCGGAGGGACGGACATGAGGACCAGGTGAAAAGAATGGAAATGGTTTCTTGTTGATGACATGGTATGCCATGACAGTAGAGTTAATTGACAAGCAGGAAGGCTTGAGAAACTGCTCAAGACTGGCAGGTCGTGAACTACTAGATACAGTACAGTGTCTCATTAATGTGTTATTTCATGGCGTGAATCTTCTAAACAAAATCAAGGAAATTAGAGCTCAAAAACTATCATTGTCAAGTCTTCAGATTTTGTCAAACGGGACATTCAATCCATTTAGTTAGTTTGTGTATCAGAGTGTGTAGCACCTGTGGCCACCATTGGAGGTTTACTTATCCTTCTTTTTTGTGATTGGCAGCCCATCGTGTAGCTAAATTGGATCGATAAAATCGTCTAGTGAAGGTTTGCTGTTCCCGCTGTGAGGAAGCAAATCAAGAACTAAGCCAAGTGAAGGCATAGCAAGGCAATGAACTTAATTTTGCAATCTGCGCGGAACGTGCCAAAAACCTTCACCCAGCCCAATTGGTTTGACTGGGTGGTTAA